TAAAATAGAGCAATGAGGGTGAGCAGAAAAGGCAGAAAATGTCAATTGCTTGGAACTTAAAGGAGCTGAGAGTGTGAGTCTTGATAATATCTGGGGAATACTGTTCACACAGGAAACAGACAGGAAACCCAGATTCTCAACACAAAACAATCTTTGTTTTGGGGCAGGGCTGCTGTTCTTGAGAACAATTAGGAAATCTACAAGGCTGGACCAGAAATAGAGGAGTGAGTCTTAGAAAATAAGGCTCTGTAGGGACCAGAGGGTCTGCTCACAGAGGATATTAGGGCCACTCTGTGGAATTTCACTGCAACTTAAAATATATTGGAACACATTATAGAGTTTTTTTTTTTTTTTTAAACAAGGGTGACATGGCTTGCCCCCTCCCCTTTTTTTTTTTGAAAGAACAATACTAAATGATACTTGGAAAACAGGCTATAGAGGAAGAAGTATGCAGAGCAGTTGGAAGGATTTTTCAATATTCATGGCATAAATGGTGGCCGTTTGGATCACGATGATACCAGTGGAGGTGGTGACAAGTGCTCTGACTCTGGATAAACTTTGTTTTCTTTTCCCCCCACACCATAGATCATGTAGGATCTTAGTTCCCCGACCACAGATTGAACCCATGGCCCCTGCATTGGAATTACAGAGTCTTAACACCTGGACTGCCTAGGAAGTCCTTTCAGGATATGTTTTGAAGGCAGGGACACCAGAATTCCTTGGAAGTTTGAAGAGAAGACAGGAGAGAAACAGAGTAGGTTGATTCCTAACGTGTGCATGAATGCATGCTAAGTTGCTTGAGTCGTGTCTAACTCTTTGGACCTATGGACTGTAGCCCGCCAGGCTTCTCTGTCTATGGGGATTCTCCTGGCAAGAATACTGAAGTGGGTTGCCATGCTCTCCTCCAGGGGATCTTCCCAACCCAGGAATTGAGCCTGTGTCTCTTATGTCTTCTGCATTGACAAGTAGGTTCTAGGGAAAATGAGCAGATAGATCCGTTTTGGAGGGTGAAACTAGGCATTCATCATCAAATACATGAATTTCAAATTATTTATTACTCATCTCTTATAATTATAGAATGTCAGTATTAGAAAGAAACTTAGAAATTTTTCAGTTGCAGAATTTTTAACCTCTCACATGTGGATCCACTCACACATCTTGGGTCCAACTTGCTGTCAGCTGGAGTCACAAAGAGAATGTAGCCAGATGTCTCATTATTCAGAAAACTAGCAGGCTTGTTTACTTGGTGGTGTCAGAATTCCAAAAGCAAGAAGAGAAACATGTGATGTTTCTTGAGATCCAGGCTTGGCCTCTGCATGGTGCTGCCAATGTGGCAAACTATCAAAACAAACCCCAAGATGATGCCAGATCACAGGATGTAATAACAGATCTACTCTAGACATCATGAAATCAGTAAAGTACTGTGGTCATTTAAGTGTGTATATCACAGAGATCATTGCTTTGTGATTAGTTTACTTTTTTTCCTTATTTTTTTAATTTTAAAAACTGCTTCTATTTTTTAACTAGTACACCCTGAAGTTGATGCACCGAGTCCTAAACCCTCTTTATCTTTTAAACATTAGAGATTTAGTACAAAGTATAATGTGATTCATTTGTGATGCAATTATGTTTCACAGAGAATTCAGTGTGACTATGAGGTTCCATCTTGTTATAGAATGTTCTAAAGTTTTCACCAAATTTATTAATTCACATTTTCCAGATTCTTGTAATTTCTAGAGAAAAAAAAAATACAGAAGGGATGCTTTCATTACCAGTTAATACTTTGAATGGATCTTGTCTTTAAGCCTTTCTTAGTCTTTGGAGATTAAATCATTGTATAAATACACCTTCCTGGTAAGAAGATATATTGAGACTGAGAGTCTTTGAGTCTTGCTTATTAAGATAAGTCCCCAGTTTATACAGTCCCTATCAATTTGTGAATGTCTCTTTCCTGCCTTTATCAGAAGACTTAACAGAAGAGGTAATAGAGGACCAAGGATTTCAGAGAAACTCCATTTAAGAGGAGTTTCAATCCATTGTCTGATCTGCAGCCAGAGTAAACCTTGAAAATGCAAACCTGATGGTGTTACTCCCTCAGGATGGCAATATTTCCAGTTGTTTCAGTTTCAAGAGGGAAGTCCCTAAGATGGCTTCCGACAAGCTTCGTGAGCTGATAACTTATATGGCTCATTCCTAGTTCCTCTGTCCACCCAATCTTAAGTCAACCACTCTGTTTCTTGGCTTACCAGATTCCCTGTCATGTTAGGAATCTGATATATGTTCTTTCTTCTCATGGATATCCTCTCCTGCTCTCATTACCCCTGACAATGGGCTAGCATTGAACTCATTTTTGGGCAGTCTTTTAAATATCTCTACTTCTGAGAATATTTTGAGCTTAGACCACAACAGTTGTTTATTTTTTCCAGTTATCTCTTTAGAGGGCACTTGTACAAGAGTAATAACTGGTTCTGTCCAGATATTTTAGTTTTTTTCCTAAATTTATATTGTGTTAAAAATTAGCTTTATGTTTATGGTGGTACATATGGAATATTACTCAGCCATCAAAAAAGAACAAAATGATGCCTTTAGGAGCAACATGGATGGACCTAGAGATTGTGATACTGAATGACAATTACGTCAGACAATTATGTCAGACAATTATGTCAGACAAAGACAAATACCATATACCATTTATATGCAGAATATAAAATAAAGGTGCAAATGAACTTATTTACAGACAAGTAGTAGAGTCATGAATGTAGAAAATTAATTTATGGTCACAAGGCCTGGACCAGGCATTGAATATTGGTCCCCTGAATTGGGAGAGCAGAGTCTAACCACCAGACCACAAGTGAAGTACCTATAACGCACCATTTTATGTGTTAACACTATAATACTGAAAAACTCCACCAGAGATAATTCTACCAAGTTTGAGCATATTCGGAAAGAAGTCATACTGTACAAATGAATAACAACAGCACTGTAACTGTGAAGCCCCCACGATGTGTGGGGATCAGTCACGTGAGTAATATACTTTGGTTGAAGTTCTAGTAGATAAAGACAAGAGGTGAGAGGGAGGTTTATAAAAGCTTAAGTTAAAGTCAGTTTATAGAACCTTGAGTATAAGACTAAAGTGTCTGTGCTTGGTGTGTTAATGAGAAGAAATCCAGTATATACTGAAAACAAATGGAATGGTCTTCAGGACTCCAAAGTTGCTTTCACCAATGTGTTATTAATGAAGTCGCATCCTCTCTGAACACATCATGTATCAATACATTTGGAAGTTTAGGATACCTTATCTTGGAAAGATTGAGCTACCTCACAAGTAACAAGTGGAACCAAACCAATAGACCCTGAGGTAGAAAATTTAGATTTGCATTCTAGGTATAGCATTGTCTCTGGCTTAAATCAAAGATGAATGTTTTAATATTAAAGTAAATCACAGTTCTCTTAGCTCTAACTTTATTTCACTGCCTCTATACTTGAGAGGGAAGTAAACTAGCTCTTGGAGCATGAGCACTCATTCTATAGAGTTTACACTAGGTACCTTCTTTTAGCTTACATTAGATACCTTCTTGTGGCTTCTCCTTGAGAGCTCTGGAAGTTCAAGATACAAAGCTGGAAGGATTTATGATTTCTCAATGTCACCTTGACATCAAAAAGTTGGTTCTTTCTAATATTCAAAGTTCTCTGAATCCAAAAATGTTTAACTATGTGTATAAATCTCACATAAACTATAGGAAAGTGCAGAATAAAAACATTATTAAAAATAGCTTTTAAATCTCACTTTGTAGGTAAAGAAATTCAGGTTGTCCAAGGATTATAGGGGAACAAGACAAAAATGCACTTACCTATTTTTAAGAGAGGTCAATGACTTAACAGCTGAGAACTTGTGTTCTTGATAAAGGAAACTCTAGGCTCAAATACCAGCTCTACTGTTGATCAGTCCCATAGGGCATTGGAAATGTTTCTTCAACTACTAACACACAAGGATTATAATTTTATTGCTGCTGTTACTAACTGTTGTCATGTCTGACTCTTTTGTGACCCCATGATCTGTAACTTCCCAGGCTCCTCTGCCCATGGGGTTTCCCAGGCAAGACTACTGAGTGGGTTGCCAGTTTTTTTCTGTAAGGAATCTTCCCAACTTAGGGAATGAACTCATGTCTCCTGCATTGTAGATGAATTCTTTACCACTGAGCCACCTGGGAAGGTGATGATTAAAATAATACCTTGTAAATTGTGAAATGGATTAAGCAGATTAAGTATGGATTTAGGATACTATCTGAACATAGTGGAATGTAGGTATATGTGAGGCTTCCCTCATAGCTCAGTCAGTGAAGAGTCTGCCTGCAATACAGGAGACCTGGATTCAATTCCTGGGTCAGGAAGATACCCTGGAGAAGGAAATGGCAACCCACTCCAGAATTCTTGCCTGGGAAACCCCATGGGCAGAGGAGACTGGCGGGCTACGTACATCAATGGGGTCGCAAGAGTCTGACACAACTGAGCAGCTAAGCAAAAATATATAGAAAGAAATATGTAAATATTTCTATTGTATTAATAGTGGCAGGAACATTACAGTGTACTGATATTTGTAGAAATATCTGCATGATTCCTGACACACAAATGTTCAATAATACACACAGAATACTCATATTTTTTGAGCACTCATCATGTACCAGACATTTGGTTGGATGTTTCCCTGTATATCTGCTTAACTCAACCAGACAAACTGTTGGGGTCATATTTTGCTGAACTGTTTGATGAGACCAAATTGCTAGTTCTACCTTAAACAATTAGTAAGGGAAAGTCTTAATTTTAAAAGCAGATGTTTTCTCCAGTTTAGTAGTCTTACCATGTCACAGACTGAACTATGTATTTTATCTACATAATAAGGATTTAATATGCCTCCTAGTAGTTGCTGACTTAATTGATACCCTACTTGTTTCTTTCAAAAGAAAAATCACTATCTTATTTATCTCATTGTGTTATCAAGCTTTCTCCTAGTGGACATGGAAATTGGAAATCACACCATCCTGACTGAATTCATCTTATTGGGCCTCTCATCAGACCCCAAGTGGCAGTTGATTCTTTTTGGAATATTTCTGATGCTCTATTTGATCACCTTGTCTGGTAACATGACCCTGGTTATCTTAATTCGTATTGATTCCCACCTGCACACACCTATGTATTTTTTCATTGGCAATCTCTCTTTCTTGGATTTCTGGTACACCTCTGTGTACACTCCCAGAATCCTGGCTACGTGTATCTCAGAAGATAAGCGTATGTCACTGGCTGGATGTGGGGCCCAGCTGTTCTTTTCCTGTGTTGTAGCCTACACTGAGTGCTATCTTCTAGCAGCCATGGCCTATGACCGCCACATGGCGATCTGTAACCCGCTACTTTACTCAAGTTCTATGTCCCCTTCTCTCTGTACCGGACTCGTTGCTGGCTCCTACATAGGAGGGTTCTTGAATGCCATCGCTCATACTGCCAACACCTTTCGCCTGAGTTTCTGTGGCAAAAATATCATTGACCACTTCTTCTGTGATGCACCACCACTGGTAAAGATGTCATGTACAGACACCAAGGTCTATGAGCAGGTCCTCCTGGGTGTTGTGGGTTTCACCGTCCTCTCCAGCATTCTTGTCATCATAATTTCCTATTTCAATATCCTTCTGGCTATTCTGAGGATCCGCACAGCTTCAGGAAGGCACAAGGCCTTCTCCACCTGTGCTTCACACCTGGTCTCGGTCATGCTTTTCTACGGATCCCTGCTCTTCATGTACTCAAGGCCAAGTTCCACCTACTCCCTGAAGAGGGACAAAATGGCTGCCCTGTTCTACACTGTGATCAACCCACTGCTCAACCCTCTCATCTATAGCCTGAGAAACAAAGACATCAAAGAGGCCTTCTGGAAAGCAACACAGACCATAAGGCCACAGAGATGAAAGTTATATATATTTTATATATTTTGCAGAAAGCTCTCATTGCATTTTCCAAGTTATTGGTTTATAAACATGTTTGGAAACATTGCCATATTTCAGGTAAATACAAGATGTTATACTTAAAAGATGAAACATTAATCAAATCATTTTTCTTTTTTAATGCTGTTTTGTTGTGATTAAATTGTTATATACATATAATACTAGATTGTTTGACATTTTAAAATACTGTATTATCCATCTTGAGTACTAGATTTTCATGAAATCTCTCTACTTGCTTATCTTTTGGAGGTCTTACAGAGAAAAGTAATTCAATGGGCTTTGTGCACATAGTTTGACTTTGAATACTAGTCAGTGAACTTCATTTTATGAGGAAAGATTTTGGGTGGCTAAATTTTTATAGATTACACAAGATTTTATACACATATAGCTTTTAGCAAGTAATTCCTTCCATATTTATTCATATAACTCTAGGTGAGTACATGGAAAATATTTTCATCAGTTTGTGTCTTTGTAAAAGTGGTGTCAATTTACTATTAGCCAACTGTTTCATCATTTTTAAACTGAAAACAAACAAACATCTTTTCAAATCATTAGAAATATGTGTCTTTTAGATTGTGTATAATCCTGAGAGAGAGCAAACTCTTACAGACAAAAGCCTGCCATCAGTTTCCCTGGTGGTTCAGACAGTAAAGAATATACCTGCAATGTAGAAGACTCGGGTTCAATCCCTGGGTTGGTCAATCCCCTGGAGAAAGTGAAAGTGAAAGTCACTCAGTCGTGTCTGACTCTTTGTGACTCCATGGTCTACAGAATTCTCTAGGCCAGAACACTGGAGTGGGTAGCCTTTCCCTTCTCCAGGGGATTGATGAAAGTGAAAAATGAAAGTGAAGCCACTCAGTCATGTCCAACTCTTCACGACCCCATGGACTGCAGCCCACCAGGCTCCTCCGTCCATGGGATTCTCCAGGCAAGAGCACTGGAGTGGGGTGCCATCACCTTCTCCTCTTTAGCAGCTAGGGGATGGTTATCCACTCCAGTATTCTTGCCTGGAGAATTCCATGGACAGAGAAGACTGGTGGACTACCTTCCATGGGATCACAAAGACTGGGACACAGCTGAGTGCCGAACATTTTCACTTCCCTTCTCTCCCACTGTGGACCACCACATGTCCCCTGAAGGAAAATAGCAAGGAGAACAAATGGAAACTGAAAAGCCAATAAGCAAGCCCCATTGTGTTCTAGACCCAAGGCCTTTTTCCCGCCAGAAGATATTAAGTACAAAGAAACTTAAAGTTCCATTTTCAGTGCATGGCAGGGTCAGTTGGCATTTTTTAATACTCTTTACAACCCTGCAAATTAAGGATTATTAGTCACATATCATGAATGAGCAGCCTGAATCTCATAAGTTAGAACTTTGCTATTGAAAGATTTTAGCTACTGCTGTAGTACAGACATTGATAAACACATTTATATTAAAAACTTAAAGGAAATAGTTGCAGCCACTCCACTGCACTACCTCTGATGCATCTGCTCTTTCTTTTCCATATACATTCTTTAAGTAACAAGCCACTGGCCATTCTGTTTTCATCACAATGCTAACATTGCTTATTCTTTTATTTCCACAGAAGCTCTAAGTATGTGATGAGAAGTAAGTTTTTTGGTTTTTTTTTTTTTTTCCTTAAACCCCCCAGAATCAATAAGACAATTTCTTCATATTCCCATAAATCCCATTAGGCAAAGAAAATAAATTGGGTCAAATCAGGGGGGTTAGTAAAGTAAAATTCAAGTCTTTTGAATTCCAGACAAAATATGCACACTTTTATTTTGCATTAATTATGAATGCTACTTTTAAAATTATAGTAATATTAAATTGAACCTATGTTTTAGAGTATAGATTATAATATGATGACTAAAGCAAAACAATATCTTCTCAACCTAGTATTCTTTAATTCTTCGACCCAAGCTTCCCTTGAAGAAGTCTGTTATCACTAAGCACTGATTTGAGAAGTTCTTGTCAATTTAGACTTTGGATTATGTTAATATGAAGGGTTTTTTCAGAGTTTCTTTCACATCTGTATTACTCAGACTATAGATCATGGGGTTCAGCATGGGGAACACCATGGTGTAAAATATAGACACTATCTTGTCCCTCTCAGAGGGATAGCTGGAAGTTGGATGGGAGGAGTAGATGTCGAGAAGAGAGCCATAGTACAAGGTGACAGAGATCGGGGTGGGGGAAGGAGCAGGTGGAGAAGGCCTTGAGGCGGCCCTGGGTGGAGCGGGATCCTCAAGATGGTGGCGATGATGAAGAGGTAGGGTGCAATTATGAGCACAGTGGGGATGATCACATTGGAGGTCAGGAGGAAGTACAGTATATCCTGGTAGGACTCTTTCACATCACATGCCAACTTCACCAGGGACATCACAGAAAAAGTCATCAATAGCACTGTCATCACAAAAATTCAATTTGAGTGTGTTACTGGAGCTTATTATTGCATTGACAAAACCCTCAGTATAGGAATATACAGACAAACAGATGCACAGTCTCCTTGACATGACCTGAGCAGAGAGCAGGGGATTGGAAATAGGCACCTCGCAGTCAAAACCCATGGCAGCCAGCAGATAACACTCACTGTATCCCAGCCCCGCAGAGAAGAAGATTGGACTACACAGCCAGTGAAGGAGATGCTCTTGTCTTCAGAGATGCAGGTCACTAGGACCTTTGGTGTGTACACAAAGGAATAACAGAAATCCAGAAAAGACAGATTCCCAAGGGAAAATACTTGGGTGTGTGCAGTTGAGAGTCACTGCAGATCAGCACCAGGAGGGTCGCGGAGCACAGCACAGAGCGGACACCACGGAACTCCACAAACAGGACCAGCGTTGTCCTGGCTTCTGCTGTGAAGCCGACAACGGATGGACTCAGCCACCGTGTGGTCGCTTCTCCCTGTGGTTGAAGAGAATCTCCCCTAAAAGGAGAGAAAATGGGAGTCCTGCTTCAATCACAGGGCTCAATATAAACAAAATAGTTAAATAAATGTCAGTGTATCAACAGTAAACCTTGAAGTCCAGGATCCAATAATGAAAGTGATCATTCTAAAAAGAGTTTTCATCTTGTAAGAAAACCACTCAGACCTTACCATTACATATATATTGCTAATAAATGAACTTTGGCAGATGGGAATTTTCAAGTCTTTCTTTAAGCACAGTTCAATTTGAATCAGGCAGCTCCAAACTGAAAATAGCTAGGAACACTCCAGGGATTAGGAGCTAGGGGACAAATTTTTATAGAGAAGATGTGGAATCTCAACAAAACAAAAAAAATATTTCATTGGTTACATAGTAAGCTGTTGCCTTCCTGGGGAAAGTCGAATTAGCTGTTTGTGATAGTTTTTTCTTATGTCTCATTTTCTGATCTTTGTATTCTCAGATTTGGGTTTTGTTTTGTGTACAGTCTACTAAGACTTTAGAGCCTCCTCAGTCTAATACCTTCTTAGTTTAATTACTTTAGCTGCTCAGTTCAGTTGCTCAGTTGTGTCTGACTCTTTGCGACCCCACGGACTTTAACAGTATTCAGTTCTAAATTTCTGAAGTTGGTTATTATTTCTTACTTTAGTAAAGATTGTTGATAGGTCCATACCATTTCTGTCCTTTATTGAGCTGATCTTTGCATGAAATGTCAAAAGCCTTTGACTATGCCAAAGCCTTTGACTGTGTGGATAACAATAAACTGGAAAATTCTTAAAGAGATGGGAATACCAGACCATCTGACTTGCCTCTTGAGAAACTTGTATGCAGGTCAGGAAGCAACAGTTAGAACTGGACATGGAATAACAGACTGGTTCCAAATAGGAAAAGGCATATGTCAAAGCTGTATATTGTCCCCCTGCTTATTTAACTTATATGCAGAGTACATCATGAGAAACCCTGGGCTGGAAGAAGCACAAGCTGGAATCAAGATTGCCAGGAGAATATCAATAAACTCAGATATGCAGATGACACCACCCTTATGGCAGAAAGTGAAGAAGAACTAAAGAGCCTCTTGATGAACGTGAAAGAAGAGAGTGAAAAAGTTGACTTAAAGTTCAACATTCAGAAAACTAAGATCATGGCATCTGGTCCCATCACTTCATGGCAAATAGATGGGGAAACAGTGGAAACAGTGGCTGACTTTATTTTTCTTGGCTCCAAAATCACTGCAGATGGTGATTGCAACCATGAAATTAAAAGATGCTTATGCTTTGGAAGGAAAGTTATGACCAACCTAGATAGCGTATTAAAAAGCAGAGACATTACTTTGCCAACAAAGGTCTGTCTAGTCAAGGCTATGCTTTTTCCAGTAGTAGTGTATGGACATGAGAGTTGAACTATAAAGAAAGCTGAGTGCAGAAGATTGATGTTTTTGAACTGTGGTGTTGGAGAAGTCTCTTGAGAGTTCCTTGGACTTCAAGGAGATGCAACCTGTCCATCCTAAAAGAGACCAGTCCTGGGTGTTCATTGGAAGGACTGATGTTGAAGGTGAAACTCCAATACTTTGGCCACCTGTTGTGAAGAGCTGACTCATTGAAGAAGACCCTGATGTTGGGAAAGATTGAAGGCAGGAGAAGAAGGGGATGACATAGGATGAGATGGTTAGATGGCATCACCGACTCAATGGACATGAGTTTGGGTGGACTCCAGGGGTAGGTGATGGACAAGTAGGCCTGGTGTGCTGCGGTTCATCGGGTCTCAAAGACTGAGCAACTGAACGGAACTGAACTGAAAGATTATTGAAATAAAGAGAGGATGTATTTGTAATCTCTGTCTTTTATATTTTGGTGCTATTTGTAATGCCCATTTTCCTTTTTATTAAATGTGTTACTTCATAGCTTAATATTTACTTGTTTATATCAAATATTAATTCCATTAATTGTTCAAATTGAAGTACAACAATGTTCCATTCTTTCTACATTACTTCATTTATAAGTACATATATAAATGAAGTAGTGCTTCATTTATATATATATATATGTGTGTGTGTGTGTATTAATATGTATATATATGTGTGTGTAAATATATATACATTTTTATATTCTTTTTCATTATGGTTCATCA